TGCGCTTTCCTTCAATCAATTGAAAAACAGCGATGAAATAGTGGTGACCACTACACCGTTCGAAAAATTCATGTAAATTTCTGCGAGATATAGCGCACATAAAATTAACGCTAGATTTGGCATAAATCTACGCGATATTTCGTGTAAATTTAAACGCAATATCGCATAAATTAGCAATATTGTATGCAAGCTTGTAATCGATTTCGCTGTTTATGCCAAGTATAGCTCAAAATTAAACGAAGGAAAATTTTACACGACAGTTAAAATTCAGAATTTTTTTCTGTGTAGCACAACACCATCCAATTTGTTGAGGCACTACGGTTGAACAAAAATATATATCTTACCAAGGGTTCTTATGACGGTTTGGTCTTCATTCTCAAATTGCACGTTAATCCCCAAAATATGACGACCATGTCGCGATGCAGAGTCGATCTTCAGTGAAATTAATTGTCCTCTCATCTCATGTGGAATGTTTTTCTGAATTTTCTCAGCATCGATGTTAATGTATTTCTTGGTTTTCCCCGATGAAAAACTGGTACCTAACGCACTAGCTAGCGTGTCAAGAATCGCACGCATTTCGGGCCAGTCAATCGAAGACAAAGGCATATTCCTCAATGAATCGACAATAGCCACGGACGTTATTTCATTTTCTTCGATTTTGCTTCCACTTCCTCACCTTCCTTAAAAAAAACCCTTTCCTTGGCCAACGCAAAATGTGTACTGCGAAAATTACGCACAAAATTTCCCGCATCAAAATTCTTCTGGAAATATTTACAACTTTCATCACCACTCAACCTACACCACACACCCACGTAATTTTGCACTACGAAATCCTTCGCCTAATCACGAAACTTCCTCTTGCCTGCGATTTTTCTTTCCAATTTCAACCAGTTTCTTATTAAAAACAACACTGCTAAGTTTGCAAATATAACATATAACACTATCTGCGCTAGAGGTGACTGCCGTAGAACTGATTTTTTTTGCAGTCATTCACTACAGCAAACGACAAAGGGAACTTGACCGAAATGAAAATGTGAAAAAAAATCAAAACGAAGCAGAGTGACTAAACGAGAGAGGATTTTTTACGAGAGGGAGCAAGAACTGATTTTTCTACCTATTCGTAAAGCTGTGCATTTGGAAGTATGAATGCGAAAAGTAGCGTGGAGCAACGGATGGTATACGAAGTACCGCACACAAAAGACTACATGAAATTGAATGAATGGTTATGTTGACTGCGCATGAAAAAAAGGACAGACAGAAGCCCTGATGCAACCCACTTTCTACCTGTTAACTGGGGCCACATTATAGAACCAAATCGAAACGACTTTACAAGCGTTCATACGAAAAACGTTTCGTTTCGACTTCCCTAATAAGGCCCTTGATCTCCAAGTTTTAAAGGGAGGTGACGGTGTCGTTCCATATCGTGGAGATTTTCAATAATAATGGCATGACCAATTAGTAGTTCACGTAGATACCACGTGAGCAGTTAAAACCAAAGCAGTTATAACAAATTTTTTTGGAAATCTCCAGATGATCCCGTTCACATTCCAAGACTCAATGATTATAATGGTAACATAAGTCAAAACAAGAATAATTATCAATACAATGTGCTAAATGGCTCCAGAAGGGAGTCCCCATAATAACAGAGTTTTAATATTTCAGAGTAGGGAATTTTTCTTTAATGCTACCGATGTTACTGTCTTTTTGAATAATCGTGGTCATGTGGTCAAGTTCCGTGTCCTGTTCCTTTGTAGTCGCTGTGTTTAATTTTAGTGCCGTCATTCGTCCATTTCCGTGTCTTTGTAGGTACGTGCTTTGCTTGGTTCGATATCTTCGTTCATCCGTCCATGAGTCCATATATTGGTCCGGATTGTCCGTTGTCGTTGCTTGATAAAACTTGATTAATCAGACCTGCCTCCTGAAGGAAGCAGAAAAGTGCAGCGATGCTGGATGGGTCATCCCTCAGGGTATCCCTGATGCTGTCTGAGATCCCGTACAGGGAACGGGGCCCATGGTACTGGGGTCATTCGCATAAGAAATGCTCCACTGTAAGTGGAACATTGCACATATCGCACTGTCGTCTGAGTCCGCCTCCGCCTCCCATGTTGTGGAAAACTTAGGTATGGCCGGATCTCAACCGGGATATAATGACTTGGAGAGTCGGTGTTCAGGTGGATCCTCCCATTTCCCGGTATCCGCTCTTACCTTCCGGATAAATAAGTCTCGAGATCGCATCCATTCGTTAGTCCAGCAGTTCCATATAGCGATCCACCGCTTTATGTCCTGGGCCGGGACCTTTCTGGTGTAAAAGTTGGACTGTGTCCGAGGACCCAGACAAAGGTTGTTTCCTTAGGAGCGAACTGCTGGATACCCTGGATCCAGGGGTGTTTAGCTGTTTCAGACTGAAGTGCTGCTAAAACACTGGCAGAATCGGAGAATATGACGATCGGTTTGTTGGAGGATAGGGTGGCAGCTACGAGAATGACGGCTGCTTCAGCAGTGAAAACGGTGCAAGGGTCGGGTAGTCGGTAAAAGGTGCACAGCTCCGGATCGAAAATTCCAATACCAACTCTACCGCCGCTTCGGTATCCGTCGATGTATCGTACTTGCTGATTGTTGTATTTTGTTCGATGTAATTCGGCTACTGTTCTCACTAGTGCAGGGGAGTTGGTTCCCGCCCGGAAGCTGTTCTTTATCGCCGGATCGATGGACAGACCGGGTGAGTTCCAACCTCTGGCTCCACACCAGTAGACCCTGGCTACAGGGGGGAGCTCCAGGTTGGCGGTATTATTCAGGAGATCGTTTGCCTCCATGAGGAGGGACACTCCGTCACTTGTCCCTGTAGTTTTTTCTGCAAAGCCAATCGCTTTCTTGCAAACAGATGCAACTATGTACTTTTCAAAAGGCAGCCTTCCACTCTCCACGCAGGCTGCCAACCTGGGGGTGGATGGGAGGAAACCTGATGTGACCTTTTTTTTATATACAGGAGGGAATCTGCTCCCAGACACCTGAGAAGATAACTCAGGGTGTGGGGATGGGAGAAGTAGCGCTCCCGACCCACTAAACCTTACCCTGTGCTCTTGGCCCTTGCCCTCCCCGGAACCGCCCGAAAGCATTACGTCATGGGGATGGTTACGCTATGGCGCATCACACTAGTGGTGTGTCACAGACGTGACACTCGCTACTGCACAGTGAGCAGCTGTGCAGGGCCTTCCTCTTATTGTTCGCTGTTAATTGTTCGCCTGAGTTCTAGAGCAGACGTGATAGCCAGCCAACTGTCCACGGCAGGACAGGGCAGATGTGTCCGCTTACCAGCTGCGTGTGCTGCGACTTGGTGAGAGTCGTCTACACTCTAAGAACTCGGTGTCACTCCTGCCTTTGCACAACGAGGGTTTGTGCAGGGCTTATCGACCTCCTGGGACGAGCTGGATGGGGCTCCAGCGTCCTTACTCTGCTGTAGTTCGTTTAGCCGCAATATCTCTCCCTTGGATTCGATAATTAACGTTTCCAGGGTACACCACGACAAGGCGAACTACTTCATGCCCCTGATGTGACCCTAATGGCCTGATAATACACTGGAGCCAGTTTGGAAATTAACCTATCAGCAGCCAGGCAAGTCAATTCTAAACCGTAGCTCAGTTTGGAATCAACTTCAGCTTTTACTACACGTATACGAATAGCACGGTTGTTCATTAAGTGTATTTTAGGGAGTAAATCAATCCTCGTTTGGCAGCTCTTTTTCACCTCATTAAAGTGGTCGTCAAAGTTTAGATGCCTATCGAATCGTAGGCCGAGGATGCGGATAGACCTCTTGAAGAGCACGATTCTTTCATCAATGCTGATTGGAGAGCTGAGTACATGGTGGTTCATCGGACAGATGTGAGTAAAAGCACATTTCTCCACCGAAAGGTGGAATCCAACGGATTTAGTCCAGCGTATGACAGCGTTTGTGGCTGCTTTTAATTTTCTGCGGTGGTGCCTACCACTACCAAGACGATGTCGTCTGCATACACAAAATGTATATTTCCTTGGGAAGATTGTTGAAAGCTCCGTTCATCCGTATTAAAAACAGCGTGATCACAGAATCTTGTGGGACGCCAGATGCCAATCTCCTCCGGGAAACCTCTGGATCTATGGTTGCCAATACATACTTGAAAAGTACGATGTTGGAGAAAATTCTTCAGACAATGGATAATGTGGCCGGACAGACCCCATTCCGCAAGTTGGACAAGGATGTCAGGCGTCCATGTCCGATTGTATGCCTTGGCGATGTCTAAAGTGGCTAGCGTATATATTAATAACCCAAACTTTAATAACTTGATGAAAAGAATAATTGTTGAAAAGCAGTCATGAGCAGAGTTGTTAATCAATAACCGTCGATAACATCTGCAACGAAAATAACTCAACTCCATTTGGTAAACAAACATTGTAAGGCCATTTTCTCGCGTACCAAAGTTCGCCAACACAAACCAACAAAATGAACAGGTAGGGGAAATTCTCCTCTACCCGATTGTGTGTTAGGTTTGCGAATGTAGGTTTAGGTTGGCTCAAAATGGAGTTGAGGCCATTTAATTGTTAGTCTTGAACTGCTAAAACATTCCGCCTTATTCTGCACCGCGAGTGAGGTGACTCTCCGTGCAATCGCGGTGACTTTTGTCACCTACTCACGGCGCAGAATAGGCCTCATTGACTCTCGACAGTCCAGGTAGTGTGATCACGTTGCCAGGCAAAATTGAAGCAATCAAACATTGTCAACTCCGCGGTAGATAAATCGGTCCCAATTCGTAGCTTCAATGATCTTCACATGCCACATGACTACAACCCTGAAAATCGAAGCAGGCTGAAAGGACTGCAAGCCCCGCCCCCTAGCAAGGTAGCGTGGCCGAGCGGTCTAAGGCGCTGGTTTAAGGCACCAGTCTCCTCGGAGGCGTGGGTTCGAATCCCACCGCTGCCAAGATTATTTTTTAACCTTTTTTCTTTCTCTCCCTCGCCCATCCCAGGCGGCAGTTGCCGAATTCGAAAATCGACTGGATGAATGCCTAGCCATCCGCGAGGAGGGTGCTATCGGCATGGCCAGCGACACTGCCGGTGATGAATCCGGATCTCCCAAGGATACCCAGCTGGTGGCCGGAGGCAGTCGCGGAGGAGCCCGGGGAAAAGCCACCGGCAGTAAGACCGCACCAAAGTCCGCGGCGAAAGGCAGGGCAGCAGCATCGAGACGCGGCGGCGGCCGCGGTCGGCAGAAACCATCGTCGTCGGAAAGTGATTCGGACAGCGAGGAGGAAAATCTGCCACCGGCTGCCAGTGCACGGGCAGTGGCCCGGGCGAAACAAAACAAGAAAATCACCAAGGTTATCGAGAGTGATAGTTCAGGTAATTGTTTGCTTTAAGTGGTGTGAGTAGGTGTAGATTGTTTTGGTGCACAATCATTCGTTTTTTTTTTCTGTCTCTAAACCCAACTTTTGACGTAGCGTCGAAGATTTTAGAAGGTGCATGACTGTTTTAATTTTTTTATGCTTGCTTTCGGAAGATAATTAGAAAATACTGTATAATTTTATAGCTTTGTTTATTGCTCATGGATGTTTATTGTAGCTACTAACTGAATAAATGTAAATTTCGTGCCATTGAGTTATCTATATTTTTTTGATCTCCGGTGACAACTGTATCCGATAACATTCGAAAATATAAAACACTTTCGTTTGTGGTATGGATTTGTTTCTAAGCTGCCTCGATTGCCAATGCATTAGGTCCTAAGCAGTGCTGCGTGCTGTAAACAATGTCAATTGATATTAGATGTTGCACCAGCACTGAATTTTACTTCCGATACTGATATCAGGCTTTGACATAGCTATCCATATGAATATCACAACAGTTGAAAATCTTACTTTTATTACAATATATTTATCATTTTGTATGGCGATTTTAGTAGTACCGATGAGTTTGCAAAATATCAGTACCCGTTTAGCAGCTCAATACGATATTAATTGATAGTGGCATCAGGCGGCTTGTGAAAATCAGCATTTTGTTGGTATTGATATTGATACTTTTGCAGCACTGGTCCTAAGTAAGATTGAACGACTCTCTTCTTCGACTTTCTCTTTGCATCCTCTCACGGCCGTATTAGGACATTCCCAGCTATGTTCAACACACAGATCGATGGAAGAAGCTATTATCTACCTTCTAATACGACAAACACGACGAGAAACGGTTCGATGTAGACAATCGATCAATGTTACTTAGGACCTAATGGATTGTTCAGCTTGATATTATTTCTAATCTTATAATTCAGATGGCTTTGTATCTTCTGTAACGTTTCCACACATCCACTCACATGGCCCGCAAATTAACTCATCTTCCTAACATCACATCGCCTTCACAAAAGAGTTATGTTTTTTTTATTATTTTATGTTGCTAATATTATGTTCTTTCTTTTGTATAATTATTCCGTTGTCTTTCCAGACACCGAGACCATGCCTATGCGTAAAACGAAACGCATTCAAGCGCTCAATTAGGATGTACACACACCCACACACTCACCATCTGATCCATACTTTCTGCTAACTTACTACCTAGATTACTATTGTAACATTCAGTGGATTTTCTCAATGCACAAAGTTTCACGCCCCTTTGCTTTTCTAAACGAACGACCCCATAAGGATCGAGTGAAAACTGGAAGCGAACTGGTGCGTCGTTTAGCTACCGCAAAGCCCGCGTGAAACATCATTCGCACTCGATGGCACTTTGTTGTTATTGTTCGTCCGTTGGAAGGTCTTCTTTTTCTTCGTTTTAATATGTATTTAGTTGGTTAAGTAAGCTTTTAATTGCTAGTTAGAATGTTGCAATACTTATGCTGCCATATTTTCCCACTTTACTCGATTTAGAATTAATCAACTGTGCAAACACGACAACCGTTTTTTTTATTTTTAATCTATATACTTTTAGACGAAGATGAGGAAGAGGTCGCACCGCAACCTAAAAAGGGCAGGGGGAGGCATTAGCAATGTTCCTCGGTTCGTCGTACCTCGTATTCGCATCCAGTGTGCTATCGAATATTTAGTTCTTAAGCTCAAATTAAGTTGCAAAACAACAATAGTGAAGTTCAAAGTTTTCTAAGCATAAATTATGCACTAGTGTTAAGTTACGTCAAGCCAATATACAATTTTCTGATCGCACGTGTGTGCGTGTGTGTGTGATTCATCCGAAATCCTCTTCTCCGTCCCTGTGCATCAGTGCTTCGCAAAGGGGTAAATGTCGATGCTTGATCTCCACCATCTGGCCCTGTCGGTCGGTATGCAACCGCATGTTACACCCAAGTGTGTTCACATTCGCGCATCGCCAATAAAGACGGCGCTCGGAGGCGCCGTTCCGATAAAAACAAAATCCTTGGTACAGCATTTTCTTCTTACGGAACGGGTCAACGGATCGGCCCCCTTCTTGGTAATCCGCTGCTGTTGGTGGGTGATTATGCTGGTGCTGCGAACCGACCCGTATCGACCCAGTGCTGCCGTTCATCGTCAGAGAAGCTTTGCACTTGAAACGGCGCATCAGCGAACACCGATAGTAGGTGGTTTCCTTCCGGACGGGACCACTCTTGTGGTAGTGATGGCCCTGATGGAACAGCCTAGCCTGACGGCGATCGACCACTTGAATCCGAGTAGATGCTGGGAAGAGATTTGTAGAGAAATTATGTTAGTGACAGAACAAACAAAACAATTCGCTTATAGGATGTGATACTCCGACTACGCTAGAAAAACTGAACCCCCGATATTAATTAATATTATTCATTTACCTTCATTCATGCAATTTTGCTCAAATATATATATAATCAGAGATAATTAAACATTAGTACAATTACAATTGTTGTCAAGATTGATGATTGAGCTTTCCATGCCAATAAAGTGATTACGTTTGTACAAATCAAAACGATACAAATTTATCAATTCCAAATTTGTTGCTTAGCACTAGGTAGTTTTGAAAAAAAAAGAAAGGAAAAGTTTGTAATTTGGTTGGACAACAATTGTCGAAATGACCTTACTGGAAGAGTGCCGCGATAGTTTCCTTTTGTTTTGTTCGAGAAAATGAAAATCAAACCGATGTCGATAAAGAAGAGCCAGCCTTGTCTCACGACTTGTTGCTTCGTTGCTAAAAATAACACTGAGTACGTAAATATGTAACACCAGCACGCGCACGGCGAGGGGTGATTCATGGGCGTTACACTGATAATCGGAAATAGGTGTTTTAGGCGTGTTGCTGATTAATGTTTTTTTTGTTTGACTTAAATAACACTTGAAATTATAGGTATTTGCTTGCTGTTGTTTTGTTCTGCAATTCGATGAATGATTTGTTTTCCTACCAACAATGAAAAAGGATCTATGTATTAGCACAATCAGTTTTGGGTGCTCTCTTCCCGCTGAACGCGGCAAGAAACCTGAATTTCTCTGTTCTCTCCTAAATAATAAGATCATGAATATTGTTTTCCGTTTTGCTTCGCTTTCGTCCGAATTTTCCTATCAACAAATCATCATCCCATTTATGTATCAACAAATTTACGTATTTCTAATCTTGCCCGGAACGTAGTTCTTGTCGATGGTCGGTTCCTGGAGGAACATGTGCAAACAACGTTCGTTCTGGGCTAATGGGTGGCCGGCAATTTTGTTCACAAACTGCTCCAACCCCTTTCGTCGCTCTTCGATGAAGTTCTCGTCGAAGATCCCGTCATCGCCACGGAACGGCATCTGACGCTTCCATGCCTTTCCCGGTAGCGGAGGCACAACAATCTGTGTGGACGTGGCGAGAAAAGTGGAGAATAGGTATATGTTTAGTTATGACCGACCACTGAGCAATAAGCCGTATCGATTGCCACGCGACCGCACTAATAAGCTTTACGTTACGTTAGAACTGCTAAGAAGTGAAACAATTCATAACAGAAGGGACAATGACGAAGGAAGGCCTATATGATTGTGCAATATTACATATATGAGTCAGAGAACTTTCTTACCTTGCTATCACGCTCAAGTTCGTTTCGTAACCATTCAAAGTCACTGTACCGTCTTCGGACGCTGGATTCCTTCACTTTGAACACAGGCAGATTAGTCTGAAAATTGAAGAATAAAGTATACGTCAATAAATATTTCTTACAATGAATATGTCACTTGGGTAATAGCAAAAAAAAAACAAAGTTTGGTAAACTTTGTACATAAATAAATAAAGAAACTTGGAAGAGAAAAAGGGATTTGTGGGGCAAGATGGCATTTCGTGTGTTCTTGAGATGTTTTTTGATGGTATTTTCGTGTTCTGTTGGATTGTTAGTGTTTTGGATTGGCTTTAATCATCCCTCTATAATAGGAATATTTTTATAAAGCGAATTGAAGCCCATAGACCAGGGTGGGCCATTTTTCCACATTAAACTAACTGTAGGGCTTTACATTAAACGACAAAGAATGCGTTAAATCGTTTTGGTGTCTACGGCGCACTTATTCTTTGGGTTCATAAGGAATAAATGCACAGCAGACGCCACGACGATACAACGTAAAAGCGCACTTTTATTAGCGATTCCTCACTTTTGATGAGTCCAATTAGAAATGCAAAATACAATCTCTCAATGACTCCATATACTTTATGTGCATAACGGAACTTCTCAGAAGTTTATTTGAACTTCCCTGAAGTCCTCCGGAGCTTAAAACGGGTCTATCTCGTTTGGAATAATCAGGGTGACCAGTGAATTTGAATTTTGAAATTCCCGCTTTTTTCCCGGTTCAAATCTAAAAACTTAATATTCCAAGGGGCAAGACAGCTCCTAATCATGAACACTTTCAGAGTTACTTTTAAGGAATCTTGAGTAACTCACATTGCTCAGTGAGCAAGATCACTGTCATTTTAGTTTTCTCACTTTTCGTATCACAGCAACATATGGAGGCGCGAAGCCGAAAAGTTGCTGCCAAGCTAAACAACAACCAAAATCGGGGGCTTCCGGCCTGCCACTCCAGGCGAGTATGATTGCGATTCTGAACTTTCGGTACCAACATTTCGCGGGTTTACTCAAGTTAACACTTTTCCGAACCGAAATAGACGCTTGGCAAATGATTCCGCATTACCGGGCACTTTTGCTTCTTTGCCGTTCGTGCCACTGATCGGTCTAGATGCTGACCATCTCGTTCTCGTCGTGTCATTCAGGTTACCTACAGCGATTGTTTATACTCCGCCAGAGAGCGACTTTTCAATACCCTCGAGGCCCATGAAAGACAACCCTAAATCCCTATCAGAGACGTGTTGGGAACCCACGATCTCTGCTATATGCAGTCGATTTATGTGTTTCTACAAATGTCTAGTATCTGAATTTGATTCCTTTGTCTTTTGTTTCTCTTTATTTAATTAGTTTTTGTTTGTCTTGTCCGCCCGTCTTGATGAGTCTCATCGTCGCCCACTGGGCTATGGTCAAATTCCAGACGAATCTAGAACCGCACTACCGTTGATACTGGCGACAACGCTCTGATGAGGCAACGAAACCCCACTCCGAAGCTCCTCCTCTGATCCTTTCTTTCGACAAAATACCCCTCTAACCTCGGGTAAACCACGAGTTTTGGGCCCAACTTCTCTACTAGACATAGAAGATGATCGCAGTAGGCCGCACTTGAAAGCTGACGTGTTTTTCTTTTGCTGCGTATTTTTCGTCGGCGGATCAAATATTTTTTGCTTTAAATTTGTTAATTTGTGTGCTGAAATTTAGTTTCAAATGTTCGTAAAGTTATCATTTAGTGATATATCGTGTTTTGCCTCTGTTTGCCTTGAGTTACTCGGTTGACCTTGAATCTAACCCCAAAATCTACGACGCAGGTTAAGTTTCATTGTTCGGTGTCGAAAGATGCCTCCCGGGAGCCCGGTTCTCCGAGTTAGGATGCCACATTTTCGACGTGTAGTTCTGTTCTATGAGAGATTCGTCACCGTGGGCGAGTATGAACCCGTTCCGGTTGGTGAATTAGCCTGGGAACGAGTTGATAAAGTGTTCGTCGCGAGTTTTGGTGGTGATTCGGTGGCCGACGTTGCCATGAATCAGCAAGTTTTCCGCTGTCGATGTCGGAGATTGTGAGCAATATGAAAGATACCTCGCTGGATACGCCCAAGACTGGACGGGTGGTAGCTGGTGGCCGCGAAAGGTTCCTGCGAAAAGCACTAGGCGCGAACCTCCTCCCAGATGACCATGGCAATGCAAGACAATTTGTGTTCGTTGAAGTAAGTATTACGACAAAGCTGAATCACGAAATGAGATGCAAAGCGTAGAGAAAAACAAAACTACGGAACCCATGAATTTGCAGAATCAAATTAACATGGTGAGACCAGTCCAAATACTTTTTATAATTAAAAAAACATGAACAAAATACGTGCCAGGATTCAAAAGAATATTTCGAAACTGGAAGTGATAGAGGTAATACATATATGCGGGGCTTATTGTAAGTGAAAGTAACCTCGGAATGGGCGTGACTCTCCAGACATTCTGAAATGGGTTGCTGGATCTGCAATAGAGCTATCACCTTCTAACTCCCGGACTAAAGCTGTCTACAATGACCATAAATACGACATTGTAGAGAGTTGTAGTTCTTCCATAATAGCACTGCCGGCCAGTGGGGGTTAGATTTAATACACACATACACACACAACTTTTACTAGACATAGAAATAAGTGAATGTTGTCACAAATAATGAACAATGAATTATCGGCTCCATAAAACTAACGCGAGTCAGCCTCTCACATAAACGAACTAGATAAAAAATAAAGAACGAAATCGGTCAGTGGTCTACAGCTACAGGACACAAGGTGATGCGCTTTCGAGGGATTCACCAATTCAATTACTGGCTATGTTTTTCAATATGCTGGTGGATCGATATCGTAGGGCATTCGACTTTTGCACTTTCTACGACAGTAGCGAAGTGTATGGCCCTTTCCGCTGCAACACAAGAAGCGTTGTGGTAACGTTGGTTCCGTTGAGACAGGGCTGGTAGCGAGTCACTTTTTAGTGACTTGGTCACTTTTTTCAAGCCAGTCACTAAAAAGTCTCTTTTTTTAAGGCCAAGTCACTAAAGTCACTTTTTCTTGTAATAAGGCACTTTTTTTAACTTTTTTTAACGTGATTTTTATTTTAAGATTGATCATTCTTCTGGATAGGCCTACGTTTTGTTCTATTTTTATACAATTCGAAGTTGAAGACCTTTGTTGGAGTAAATCGGTAACGCAGTGTGCTGACCACCTCCTTGGAGACCGAACGTCACCCCTAGCAACCTAAGTTTTCTTAAATAAACAACGGTGAAAAACTATTCATTCCTGTTCAAGACTCCACTCAAGCTAGTCGTTAAATAAAATCCATTCTACTTTTAAACTTTGCTGTTCCGGTTCTTTCTAACAATCAAGAGGTTATGGGCGACTCACGCAAGGATTTGGTCCACGGGATCCCGCAGTTCTCGGGCACCGGTTTCGACAATTGGCAATTTCGAGTGGAGAAGTATTTGAAGTCCGTAAAGCTGTTGGATATCATCAAGAAGGAACCTCCGATGGAAGCGGCCGAGCTCACGAAGTTCCAGGAAGATGACGGTAAGGCGGCGTTCCTGCTGACGTCATTTGTTCATGACGATTTGCTGCATTTGGTGCGGGACAAGGAGACGTCCAAGGAGATGTGGATGAGCCTTGAATCCGCCTACGCCAAGAAGTCCGTCTCGTCGCAGACATTCGTCAGGAAGCAACTTGCGAAGCTACGAATGATGGAAGGTTCGTCTGTGAAAGATCACCTGAAAACCTTCGAAGAGCTGATCCGACAACTGAAGCTGGCCGGAGCGAAGCTTGAAGAGAACGATATTGTGTCCCAGCTGTTTGCTACCCTTCCCGAGTCGTTCGATCCGTTGGTTACGGCACTGGAAAATCTAGGTGAGGAAAACCTAAAACTGAATGTTGTTCGCGAGCGCCTTCTTGCCGAGGAGCTCAAGAAAACCGACCGGGCAGCGGATTCCTGCCAAGAGAAACCTGCAGCATTCCAAGGATCGAAGCAGAAGCCTGGTAAGTTCACCGGAAAGTGTAACCGTTGCCAGAAGAAGGGGCACAAGGCCAAGGACTGTCGTGTGAAGTTGAAGACAGATGGGCGCGCTGAAGCTAACGCTGCTGCTGGAGGTAAGGCGGTGGCTTTTATGACCGGGAGATGCTCCCAAACAAAGGACGAGGGAGCAGTTTCCTTTAAGCTGGATTCCGGAGCCTCGGACCACCTTGTGAATGTGAAGCACTGTTTCGCCGACCTCACGAAGCTGAAGCACCCTGGCGTCATAAACGTGGCGAAGGATGATCAATCCCTGATTTCCCGGCACAGTGGCACGATCAACGGCGTCAACAAGGAAGGTAACTATATCAGCTTGAAGAACGTCCTCTTCGTACCAGATCTTCGAGCGAACTTGCTATCTGTGAAGAAGATGGCAAAAGCGGATCTTGATGTCACATTCACGAAAAAGGAAGCGATCATGAAGCAAGGTCGTGACCTGATTGCGAGATGTCCCATGCGGGGCGATTTTTACGAGCTCGATCTCCGTGTCGATACGGTGGCGGCCAACATGTGTGGAGCTGTGACTGGTAACCTGTGGCATCGTCGACTGGCTCATTTGGGGAGCAAGAGTTTGCAGACACTCGCGAAGCATGGCATGGTAACAGGTATTCCCGAGAAACCAGATAAATTGGATTTTTGTGATGTTTGTGTTCTCGGAAAGCAGTGCCGAGAACCATTCACGGGTACTAGAGTCCGTGCTACAAGACCTCTAGAACGAGTGCACTCCGATGTGTGCGGTCCAATTACACCAGCGGCTTGGGATGATTCTCGGTACTTCGTCACCTTTATTGATGATTACACGCACTTTGCAGTAGTATATCCCATCAAGAAGAAGTCCGAGGTGTTCCAGAAGTTTCGAGAGTACGAGGCCATGGCGAGTGCTGCTCTGGGACATTCGATTTCGAAGCTGACTGTCGACCAAGGGCGCGAGTATTGCTCCAATGACCAGCGTGATTGGTACGTTTCCAAGGGGATCCAAGTCGAGCCAACCGCAGCGTACACACCACAGCAGAATGGAG